AGAGAACAGTGCGTAAGTTTTGGAGGTGATGCCGTTTATTTCGGAGACTTTCTGCTTCAAATATTTACATGAAATTTATGAATAATGCATAGTGGAAAAAGCTTATGAATAATTCACCAAAAACCCCCTCAAAATCAAGTTGGAAAAGGCCTCGTGGCTGCGCCACTCGGCTTTGCAGTTACACACACACTCAGCCACGAAGGCCTTGACAAAAGGCTACTATTGGTGGATCATTGTTGCATTTTTCAAGTCAATTATGGAATGACGAAAAAACAAAAATCCCACAGAATTGTTAGTTGTTTCGGTACCAGAACGGGCCTTTCAAATTCAGAAACGCATGAATTTTGGACAGTTATGTGCCGAAATGTCATGGTGCGTCGTGTACGATGAACACCTCCAAAACGGTTGTGATTTTACACATACAATACAATATTGATATTTATCTTCATTACTTGTACAATTTGTGCAAAAATATCTTCTATTCAACCGGTGGCTGTCATTTTATGCTTTCCAAGAACAACGTCGGAACGCACACGCAAACCCACACTCACAACTATGAACCAGTTCAGACAATCCTGGCCAAATCTTGTCGGGCCCTCCACCCCCTGGCCCCCTCTCAATGTTGGATCTCAATGCGCAATCTGCGCTCCAGCTCGACATGACAACATTGACCGGAAGAGTGGGGGACCTGGAAAGGGTATGGCTATTGACACGTGTCCCAACAAGTTTGTTTAGGATGGTAGCTGGTCTCAATGCCTTAAAAACGAACAGTTTATTTTCCTTTCACTTACAGATCTATTTTGCACAACAGTGCCAATAGATGCACATGATATGCCATTGGTGCATGCTGGTTCTATTGCTGAAGAAGGATGCGATTTGTACATTTTCAAACAGGAAAAATCCTGCCAACTTGGTGCAGGAAAGTTTTTATTTACATTTACTAAGCACGAATACAAAACACTTGTTTTCTACCTTTACAATGCTCTCCTTGAAGTACCCAGGATGGCTCATCATGATCAACACCGAGCCCACTACAAAGAAAACTGCGACCATCAGGATTGCGCGTACCGATTGCCGATAAAATCCACTACACAGCGGCTGATGACTCCATCTGTCCACACTGTGTGTGTCACCGCCCGTAAGCGCCGATGCCCCCGTTTTCCCTCTCCAATGGGAAAGTAGAGGATGTTTCATCTTCGTGTCCTTCAAAGTTCCAAGACCCCCAGGCTAATGGACGTAGGCAGATTGGTTCATGTCACTATCGACAGGTTAATGGAGACTGGTTTCAACACTTAAAAAGTTCTGCACTTTATTTTGCAGTGATGTTTGATTGCCAGAAACATTAAATTCAGGCAGCGTGACGACAATATAATGCATAATTATGAGGCAAGTCGTTTTTGTTGCATCATTTTCCGTCCACCAGTGCTGGACACAACCCGTCGCGGCCTTTCAGGCTTAACTCAAAGGATGTTTCCATTTCTCACTAGGATGAAATTTTTACACAAACTTTTGTCAGCAAATCTTTTATGTTTTCCCCACCAACTGTGAGAAATCCAAGGCTACCAGCTGACTAAAATCCCTTTGAAAATAGTGCTTAGGTCCAATACTCCAAGTCCTGTCGGGAAGCTGGTGTTTGCTCTCAGGGAATCAATGTTATTTAAATTTGTGTGACGTTTACTCTTTTTGAGGTTTAGTAGTGAAACGTTGGAAAACGAAATGTACAAAAATACCAGAGTTTGCTAGCCATGATTATGCTGTATTTCTATTAATTAGTTTTAGTTAGGACTTCATTGTTTTATAGCAATTATTAAAGTTTTTGCAATGATTGCTGTATATTGATACTTCCTTGTTTTCGATAACTTTGATGGAATTAAATACAAGGGATAGGTCTAACTGGAATCTCAAAGCTAAAGTTTTCAGAATTAATGCAGTTGCTATAACACACCTTTATATTTCCATTGCATGGTTAGAGCTTAAAAATGGTTTTCATGTCACGGTTAGGCCGCGCAAGTCATCCCACCACAAGTCCCCATACCCCAATTTTCAGAGCAAATTTGAGCAACTCATGATTACCAAGGACTAATCAGGAGCGGTTCCTGACCTAAGTTACAATTCAGAACTTGTATGTACACAATAACACATTCATCCAACTGTAATTTGCTATATGCTCCGTTGATACAAACGATGACGGTTGCACACATTCCGTTTTTCTTCTACTGAAGCGCAGTGGCGTAGCTAGGATTTTACTAGTGTGGGGGCACAAGGGGCGCTCCAGCATCTTATGGGGGGCACCAACTTTCAGCGGTGTGCTTTTGGGGGCAAGCTTTGTTAGCCTTATTCAATCTCCATTCATTCGGTTTTTTTTTGGGGGGGGGGCACCTGGGGGAACATGAATTTATGGGGGCACGTGTTCTCCAGGCCCCCGTGGCTACGGCACTACCGAAGCGCCCCGGTGAAGCCCTACGTACTCCAGCCTATACGGGCATGTCGCGCTGTCAAAAGGGGGAAAATGATAAAATTCAAACTGAGACTCACCCGTTCGTTTCAGCTTTCCTGTGGCTCTAGATGTGGAGTTGCCAGCAGCAGCAGCAGCGAATAGTCTGGCTCCTAGCACTAACGTATCTATACACAGTTTGACCATGAAAACACCGATTACGGTCAATTTCTCTTTCGTTTATCTATTAGCCAAGCAGCGCTAAAAGTATCACTTCATCCCCGGTGCCGTGATTTTCATGTAGTGTAATTCCCGGTGACGAGAGAAAGTGAGGCGGTGAGGCCAAATTTTGGGGTTCCTGTGTCACTCTCAAATTTTGGTTTATTGGAGATCTCCACTTTGCTCATGAAAAGACCTGCCAGTACAAAATTATTATTTTAAACAAACACGAATCTTTGGTTCTATAAATTAAATTAAATACCAATTTCCATGATCAATGAAGAGTATTGCTGGTTGTACATGTAACTTACGATGTAACATGTACATGCTGTGGATTTCCAAGGTCATGCATAATATATTGTACATGTACGATAACAAAGGTTGGGGTACACGTACGTGCACACCATATTGCAAATTTGACATTTAACTTGCACCCTACTACATACAGCCACTTGTATGACCTTATATTAGCCATTATATAACTCGCTATATACATGTAACTCACAAGTCGATATAGCCAATCTGCCCCTAGCCTAGGGCCCCAAACCCTGCTGGTACAATTCAGCAAATCCACAGGATCATTCCAGGCCCTGAACCTGACGACTACAAAGTTGTCCAAAAGTTTTGGAAGGAATCCGAGGTTGTGGCGCGAACGACCACTTTACACGTATATTCATGGGCACTGGAGCTTAACTGATTGCAACTTAATCCCTCTATTAATCGATCTGGACTATTAAATATCTACCCATTTACATTTATCTGTAACTCACAAGCAAGCCATTATCATTTTATAAATGAATGCATTATTAAACCTGGCACTATCTCTCTTGTCCGCATAGCATGTCCAAAACACCAAGATTACTACACGGCAACGTACCGAGCGATTCATGGACAACATGAATAACGCCCTCATGTGACTACAGCACTTAACAATTAGCAAACACCACATTCACATCAATATACGCCTATGCAACCATCTTCATAACAAGTTACTTCGCTTTAAAGTACCTCATAAAATCAGTAACAGTTTCAACAAACCTGCAAGTCCACAGCGGTGACGAGGTAAATTAAAAACGTTAACAGATGCTTCAGACAAGATAAAGGTTGAGATCTGCAAACATCATCAGGCTCTCATCCACAAAGTGTGCCCACCAGAGTGCTATTGCAGGGAATGTCCCCTAGGTTTGTATAGGGAATGTCTGATTTTTCTCAACCGATTTTCCGATTTTCTGCTCTAAAATTCTTCATACATGCATAACACAATCCTTTCACTCATATGAAAGCATACTTTTGCACCTACATGTACTCGTTCATACTCCCCGCTGATCTGTGTAAAAACTTCTGATCAATCAAAACCCTTCTTTTTCACTTGCAAATGAATTATTATCCAATCAGCAATATCCTTCTATTTTCAAGATGTATTTTTCACGTTGGGGAGATGTTAATTTACATTAATACATCTTGAAAATAGTTCGCGGTACCGGCTGCTTCACTTGACTCGGACCGGCCAACCGACCCCGGCAAGCTCGGTGGTCGAGTGGTTAAGACGTCTGCACTAGTAAGCAGAAGGTCGTGGGTTCGAGTCCCACCCAAGTAAGCTTGTGACTTTTTTCGCAAGCTTTCGGACAAGCACTGAGCTTACAGTGTTTATTAATATATACGTTGGGTAAGGGCAAAACCCGTTATATAAACTAGAACATGTATATTAAAAAATCAAACAACAAACCAAAAGAACCCCCTTTAAGGTAGCCAGGATCAATAAAAGTGAAAATAAACCACTGTAGCTCCAAAGCCAATTAATCCATCCTTAAAGTTGGAACAAAAAACAATAAAGGTAGAAAACTATAATGGCAAGAGAATCACTGGGGGGAAAAAAAGAAAGTAGTATAAGTATAGAAAAACAAAACCATTAATACGATGAGACTAGAATCCCTAATAGGTGGCCTAAAAATTGGGATATTGCATAAGGAAAAGAATGGTGAAATTGAAAAAAAGGTCCGTTTGAGTTATAGATGTTAATTGCATTTCTCAAGGATATATCGAAGGAAATCTCAATAAAATGTCAAAATTGAAACGATGTATGAAGAATAATAGAACTATAAATAGGAAGGATAATAGCTTAAAAATACAATAAAATCAATATTGATAAGATTATGGCAAGAGGTAAAAAGGATGTCACTTAAATACCCTAAAAGAGGTCACACAAATAGGTATTGAAATGCTTAAATGGATCCAAAGTGAGGGTATCTTTGACAACGGTTGGCAGGTTACTCCAGACCCGAGGAAATGAATGAATTGAAGTGTTAAGGCTAAGCTAATCGAACGCACGCTATATAATGGAGATCAATGAGACTGTACTACAAATTCGCCATGGGACTATGCCTACACAGACGTAGCGATGGGTGCTACTAACATCAAAATATAGCCTACCCGTGCTCTCCGTGTCCCTCTAAAACTTAAACTCCACGGCCAGCTCAGTGAAAGACTTGGACAGTTTCCTATACTGTCTTGTTTGTATTCATACTCAAAGAGTTACTTACCAAGTAAATTATCGTACAAGTAACCCGAGCTTCAATTAACACGTCACCTAAAATCACATAATACAAGGGGTTATGATAATTGTACATTAAAATACATTTGATGCATTCAGTCAGTTGTCTAAAATAATCTTTGAACCTATTTTCCTGGTGGATGTCTACTAAGTACAATCCTTACGCGTGGGACGCACAAAGGTCATCAATCAACAATTACTTGACCACAAACACGCAAATAACCCAGATGCAGTGTAGACGCTGATTTCTAGATCAGCTACACGATATGCATATTCATGTTTAGAATTAAAACCGTGAGGTCGCCCATGCTAAGGCACAGTCTCTTACATTACCAAAAGACTACTTAATAAGATAAGTAAGACCTCTGTCTTAATGTTTGACTTTTACTGGCCATTTCAAGATATTATGTCTTCAGTTTAATTTTAAGCCATACATGTGTAGGTAAATTACACAGTGCAGAACTAATAGTATCAGAGTTGTATCTTAATCATTTACAGGACATCAGTGACTTGAAATGACATTAGTAAACGAAGTAGACCAAATATCAGAGTTGTTTCTTGATTAATTAATCATTTCAAAGGAAATCATTGACTTTTAAATGACGTTAGTAAAGGAAGTACACCTAATATCAGAGTTGTTTCATAATCAGTTTAAGGACATCGATGACTTTTAATGACATTAGGGAAGAATATAGACTAAATGTGAATACAGTAAATGCTGAAGAACAGCTCCTGGTTCAATGATGCGGAGTACCAGCACTGCAGTGCATAAAAAATCTGAGGGGAAATGTACACCAACAAACAGCGGTGCTTTGGGTAAAAAAAAAGTCAGACTTACTTTAAAAAGATCTTGGCTCACGTTTAGGGAGTTTACAAAGTCACTTTTTTTTAAAGTCTCATAGTTTTCCCCTTAAATCCTGAGGCAAAATACTGCAGGTGAGTCAATGCGTTAAGTAATAAAAAGCATTTTGTTAATTCCAATTGAGGAATTGACATGAAAAGTTCCATATGATTTGTTACATAAATATATAATATAGTCGATGAGAGAATCACAGTGTCTCTCATGCCTTGTGTCATTATTTTTTGCAGCATGTAACAAATAACTCCAGGTTTTTGCATGCTTTGCAATATTAACCAGAAACACGGCAACTGAATATAGCTTGTTACAGTTCATTGCATTTGTGAAACGTGTCGACTTTAACATTTTATCTGGACTGGTTTACTAAATCAACATTTACAAAAGAGAAACACAAAGCACAAAATTTCATGAACCAAACAGATATAATGCTAATTTTGCCCTGAACCAGTCAGCCTGAAACCAAATTATCGAACCCCCCAAACGTGAAGGATTAAATTGTAACTGGTCCCCTTGTTCTTCACATTAGTTGGTTACACAGACCAGTATTTCTGAGAACTTATATTTAGCACTTATATTAAGAACTTATATTAAGCACTTATATTAAGAACTTATATTAAGCACTGGAAAGAAGCCCTGCACTCGAGTGTGAGTTTTGCATCGTAATGTAAATAATTGACACATAAATTACCGTATTGATCGCTAATGACAGAGCCAATTAGTCAATTTTTATGATTGTCCATTTTGAATCTTAAAAGAATCGGTAATTCACACTCATTGTAATTTCTTAAGTAACTTTGGTGTGTTGCCGATAATAATTGTAATGCAGGTGAAGCGACGGTGAAGGTGCTTGTAGGTGAAGCGCCTTTGTGAAGGTGATTGTAGGCGAATCGCCTTTGTTAAGGTGTTTGCTTTGGGAATAAAGAAGTATGGTCCTGTCTCAATTGTATCTGTCCCCTCGTTATTGTCCCCGTTCGTAGATGCTGTTATGCTGCTGGTAGGCGGTAAACCTCCGCGAAAACAGATCGGTGTCACCGGCCTTCTAAGGCTAGACCGCTCGCCGGCGTGACCACTGGACGGACAGATGATGAGCTTTTTAATTGGTAAACTACATGACAATACGGATGATTCACAACAGTGTTCCTTCAAGAGTTTGCCACGCATTGGCCAATCATAACGTCCGAAATCTGTCTAACCTTTCCAAACGCACATTGGGTTGACAAATTTCGGGCTTTGTGATTGGCCAACGCGTTGCGAACTCTTGGAGGCGCTATTTTGAACCGCCCGAATTTTCAAACTAAATAACTGCGGCCTATTAACACCCTAATTCGGATGAAAATACATGTTCGATTTCTGTCAATATTGCGCGATGCCTGGTGCATCATTAGCAAAATTTGAGATTTCACCAGCTGCTTGTTCGCCGTTCCATTGAATAGCACGTGATCTAACTTTGGAATTAATTCTCTCGTAGACTTGTGAGGTTTCAGCAGAGAAAATTTAGGAGCATCTTGATTTCTTCTCGTACCACGCTACGCACAGGGTGTAGTCGATAACCCGATCTGTGACTAAGAGTCATGTCCCAGGCATCGATAATAGTCACATTCGGCATACCACTGAATATTGTTCGCATGACCCGATCAAGCTCGTGGACGTAGGCGTCGGCCAGGAATAATCCCTTGGACCCGTCGGCTCTGGTGTTGGCCGACTTGAAGAAAACTGGGCTAGGACTGGGTCCGCGCAGCTGCAGTCGCCGCACGGCCGCTTGGATGTGCCCCATCCTCGAAGCAAAGTAATTCACGCTGTTCGTGGTGAAGTGTGCCCAGAAGTTCAACACCACTACCGTGCTGGGCCCTCCTGGCAGCCCATCTAGTTCGTTCACCGTGAACTTGACGTCGTGGAAGTTGAGCCAGTTGTTGCGGATGGGGAAGTCGTGATGGCGAAACGTCAGCGTGATGTTATGCACCGTGTCGACGCCGTACAGCGGGCCGATAACCTTAGCTGATTTACCCGCCCGCTGTAGTTTCATGGTGGGACCCAGATTGCCAACTAAAAATTCCAGCCACTGCCTGAGCGTGGAGTCACCGTAAAAGTACAGACTCTTGTTCCGGAGACACATAAGGATCTGCGGGATATTGAACGACTTCTCTCGGCACACTCTAGACCTCCAAGAGTCTCTGTAATAATAGCCAGCGGCTAGTGATGGGGGTTTAGGAGGCAGTCCTGGTTTGCATTCCGGTAAGCTTTGGCACGGCTCGTTCGTGATTCCTGGGGCTGAACATAGAATGATGACCCAAGTAGTTTGGGCTTTTTAAAGAGGAGGTCATGGATGGACTCGTGCTCACGTAGGCCTACAGGCGTCAAGTTAAGGCTGCCTAGAGTAGTATGGTTAAACTATAACGTGCACAGGCGCAGAGACTATCGTTTATTTTAACACTTAACTCACAGATTCAAATCGTGTCTAGCCACTCACGTGGCATTTCGTTAGTGTCTTCTTGGCCCAAAGTTCCATATACCGGCAGCAACCAAAGAAGTGTACACCCAGCAACGGGTATTCCGTGTATATGCATGGGGGGTGTGCATGTTACACATACGTGCTTACGCTACAGAGCTGGATTCAAACATTTCGTGAAGAGGTTTGAAGAAATGGTGGTGAATTGTCAATAAGTGTTATTTTCAAAAGTACATTTTTAATTATCAGTTATCGATTAAATCAAGCCACATCTGTAGGGGAAAGGTGAACAAAATACTGACAGCTGTACCTTGTGATGTCATTAAAACTAGCCTCCACCTGTGATCCATGAATCATTCTGCTCTCCATTAGGAAAGTAGAATGTTCCACGGATCACAAAGGAAGGCTAGCTTTACTGCTCCACTCAAATGATCAATATTTTGTATGGCACTCCCATTGTGTCTTCTGTGGGTTACGACTGTTAGGGGGCGGGAGACCGTGACGAAAATGACTTCACCAAGTTGCCCCCCCCCCACTTTGATTCTCGATCTCCAAATCCTTTTCAGTCGGATAATTTCGGCCACGACCTCAGCGATCTTGCTCCAGAATTTCCTGCCGGACTGTTCTGACCGGGCCCATGATCTACAGATCACATGGGGAAATTGGAACGAAGAAAAAGAAATCAGGAAAACATACCTCGAGGAACCACAGATACTGCTCTGATGGGACCAGCGTTGGACAGATAGGCGAAATCCTTAATGCCCCTGTAACGATCAGTGAAATGAACACTCGTGTAAAGTTTGTATGACCCAGTATATGCTACTGGAAAATGAACCTTCGATGGGTTCGGAAAAACGAGGTTTGCAATAAATTGTTAATATGATTGGTTAGAAGAAACCAGTGAAGGTAGAAACTTGAACTTAATATTTAAAAAGGTCCTTAGTGTTATTACGGTCTTAAACAAATGGCAATAACCAAATGAAATGCACTAGCGTTTCTTGATGTAAAGTAAAATTCTTTGATTAGTGTACTATTATATTCGGAATAGAAAAGGGTTTATGATGTGAATTTTCCAATTGAATGTTTTGTGCAACTTTTAAATGAAACAAGGCTTTTTGATTTTTTTTTGGTTACAGTAATTAAAGAATAGGTCACACTTCCGGAAACATAAGTCTGTTGCTGTTGTGATGTCATAACAGGAAGTAGGACGCTATCCAAATTATGCATTTCCGTAAAAGCCGACAAAAAAAAACCAAAAAATAAACAAAAAACCCCACAATGCCCTGAAGATGTGAGACAAATGTTCAAATCAGATTAAGGGTGAAACAAGGGTACTGCATTGTTGAGGCCCTTAGGGTGCAGGTGACATACTGCGCAAAAATGAAACTGTGCAAAGTCCAGTGTCCGGTGTTGGTGAATTAGACGATTGCTTATAACTGTCACTGATTTTCATTAAGGCCAGGGATGGCGATACACATTTTACGTACGCTTTCCATGCTGCTATTTCGTCTGGAGTCATGATCTTGTTGAAGAATTCATGAGACGCACGCCAGTCACCCCTGTGCAAAGAGATCGCTGAACAGGGCAGGGTCGCAGGCTTCAGACAGTACCAGTTGGTACCAGCTTTGGTATCGGAATAGTCACAGACTTCAGTGGGCGATAGGTAGGAGTAGGCCACCTCAGGGTTAGTTGCAATGAACGGCATTTCACTGACCATGTGGCAGGGCGTGTACTCAGTCGTACCGTTCGCGGTGAACTTGGACACGTAGTTGAACCTGACGGGCTGGCGTTGGATGACGCCCCGCAAAGCTTCCACATACTCCGCGCTGTGGACGAACGACACTTGGGGCACTACCTGACCGGCCCACGTTAGTGTTAGTCGGGCAGTGTAGCTCCCGTTCCCGTGGTCGGTTAGCTGATTAAACGGGGCGCTCGCTTTCAGCTTATTCGAGCGGATCAGAGGCCACAACAGGTCACCGCCTGTCTTTTTCGTCACATTGTGGCCGTCGCGGACTTCGATGTAGAGCTCTAGCACGTCACATGTCTTATAAGAAGTCTTGGGATCCTTTATGTAGAAAAACGAGTTTGAAGCAACAGTCGGATTTGTCAAATTAATTGGGGGTTTAGAGCCGTCATCAAATGCTACCGGAGAGGGCGGTGTCTTCTTTCGAATTGAACCGATCTGAGTACATAAAAGTAAAAAGATGATAAAAGCATTTTTTAAAATGTAATCAAAAGAAAAGAAAGCCGACAACGTAGGGAAAGGGCTTTATAACGGCTTTCCCTATAAGCTCTGAGGTGAAATTATTGGGTAGTGTGGTGTGGGATATGATATATAACTCCAGGACTAGCACCCTCGGCGATATCCCTGGGTGAGGGTAATGTGCATTTTTATTGCCTAGTCACGTGATCGCTCTGGGCGAATGAAATTACAGTTTTCAACAGACAGTATAACCAAAAAAAAAAAAAAAATGAAACCCTCTCCACTTCGAAATATTTCAACGGAATCTTTCAAAATGTCTCCCTGTGATGTGAATGTGATTCTGTTGGTATTGACATTAAATTTGAAGGGGCGTCAAAACCGGGGTTCTTACACAAAAAAAAAATGCTACTCAATTATGCAACCCTATATCGAGGATTTTTCCAGGCCCATAGGAAGATTAAAAATTCTTTGTGAAATTCATGTTAATCAGAAGTAGATAGTAGAATCAACCGTCCTACTCTGCATGTGACGAAAAACTACTAACCCACGGCACAAACACCCCCTGAACAGTTGAAATGAAATCAGTTATACGATTATTTGTACAACGTTTTCAACACGAGTGAATCAAAGGAGTATTAATATGGTTAACCTCAAGAAACAGTTTGGAGCAGCGGCGTATCTAGCTTTTGGTGTGTGTGTGGGGGGGAGGGATCCAAAAGCGAATGCGGCTTCGGGCTTATTCAACATGGTGTTGGGTTAGAACAAAATCAAAAGCCTTAAGGTCCCGACATCCTTGCTTTTATTTGCTGGTGTTGTTTTCTTCGAGCCGGATTTTGAAGACTTCCTTGAAGTTTCTTCTCAATCTTGTTACAGGTAACACTGAACCTCAAATGTCGCTGCAGTTGTTTTTAGAGAGGGCCAAACACTGTGTGTACTTCTTATAGCGCAGAGGTCCACACTATGCATGCCGCACTTGCTCACAAAACCGGCAGAATTGGTCTTTTGAGTTGAACTAGCCTTTTGTCAAGGCCTTCGCAGCTGTGTTTATGTGTAACTGCAAAGCAGCTGTACCGGAGACCACATGCACGAGTGGCGCAGCCACGAGGCCTTTCCAACTTGTTAGGAATTTCTTAAGTTTTTCTTTATGTTTTCGAATTTTGCTACCCCGTAACAAAAATCTCAACCAATCATAAGCGAGGGGGGTCAGCACACATTAACCTATTATGCAAGCTGAAAGTGTACGAAAGATGGCGAGCATTTCAAGTGTGTCGGCGGCCGTGAGTTGTCTGAGCAGTATTTGGACAGTTGTTATGAATATGCTGCTGGAAAACATCACCTTGCCGAGTTTAAACCGTTGCTGTGTTAGGCTATTAAAGCATCTGTAGTGTACGCGGGCGAGACGTTTTCGTCTCTACCCACGGGATATGCTAAGAGCTCCATATTATAAGCACTGCCATTTTTGCTTTGACCATTCGGCCTTTATGAACTGCTACTTGCTAGTGTTACTCCAACGTCAGAACCATCCCCCACCAACAAGCATCATAGTTGTCATCTCACCGCTTATTGCCCTCGTGAAAAACCAGATGAAAGCATTGCGTAAGCTTTGGAGTTGATGCCGTTTTTTTCGGAGACTCGTCTGCTTCAAATATTTACATGACATTATGAATAATGCATATGGGAAAGCTTATGAATAATTCACCACAAAAACATCAAAATCAATTTGGAAAAGGCCTCGTGGCTGTGCCACTCGGCTTTGCAGTTACACACACTCAGCCACGAAGGCCTTGACAAAAGGCTACAGTTGAACTAGCAAGCGGCGCGCGTGCGCGATATACATGACACAATAACAACGATTAGCCAAAGCACATCACTAAGGAATTTTATTCTCTCCTTTCTTTTCATTTTGGGCTTTTGGTGGATCATTTTTGCATTTTTCAAGTTAATTATGGAATGACGAAAAAACAAAATCCCATAGAACTGTTAGTTGTTTCGGTACCAGAACGGGCCTTTCAAATTCAGAAACGCATGAATTTTGGGCAGTTATGGGCCGAAATATCATGGTGCATCGTGTGCGATGAACAGCTCCAAAACGGTTGTGATTTTACACATACAATACAATATTGATAATTATCTTTCTTTTTCATTAATTGTACAATTCGAGCAAAATATACCTTCTATTCAACCGGTGGCTGTCATTTTATGCTTTCCAAGAACAACGCCGGAACGCACACGCAAACCCACACTCACAACTATGAACCAGTTCAGACAATCCTGGCCAAATCTTGTCGGGCCCTCCACCCCCTGGCCCCCTCTCCATGTTGGATCTCAATGCGCAATCTGCGCTCCAGCTCGACATGACAACATTGACCGGAAGAGTGGGGGACCTGGAAAGGATATGGCTATTGACACGTGTCCCAACAAGTTTTTCCAGGATTGTCAGAATGTATATGTGTATGCGGCGAGGTACTGCTAACTTTACATCCTTGGGTGTCGTCAATAGGACAATAAAAATTTAAGGACTCTAGACCTCAACTTAGGCCGTACCCGAAACGGGCTTCCAGAGCTACGGCTAGGTCTATTGTCTACGCGTCTCCACGTATTTCCAATGGAGCGAAGACCTAGACCTAGCTCTAGACAAGAGATTTGGATGCAGCCTGAGTTGACTTAAAGTGGCATCAAGCTGAAGTACAAGGAACACTTTGCTAATAGTCTATAAAATGTTTGTGAATTATCAATGCTGTGCAAAGACATAATTGAAATGATTGCATTTCTTCACTTTACCGAATACAGCGCATAGCATGCATGCGGGTATGACTATTGACACGTGTCCCAACAATTGTGTCTAGGATGGTAGCTGGTCTCAATACCTTAAAAACCAACAATTTATTTTCTGTTCATTTCAAGATCTACTTTGCACAACATTCTCTGTTGCTGTGCGCACCCGTTTGTTGACGTGCAACAATTTCAATAAATGCACGTGATATGCTATTGGTGTATGCTGGTTCTAGTGCTGAAGAAGGATGCGATTTGTACATTTTCAAACAGGAAAAATCCTGCCAACTTCTTATTTACATCTACTAAGCACGAATACAAAACACTTGTTTTCTACCTTTACAATGTTCCCCTTGAAGTACCCAGGATGGCTCATCATGGTCAACACGGAGCCAACTGCAAAGAAAACTGCGACCATCAGGATTGCGCGTACCGATTGCCGATAAAATCCACGACCCGGCGGTTGACGACTCCATCTGTCCACGCTGCGTGTGTCACCGCCCGTAAGCGCCGATACCCCCGTTTTCCCTCTCCAATGGTAAAGTAGAGGATGTTCCATCTTCGTGTCCTTCATTTCTGGACCATTCTATCAAATCCTTCTTGATGTGGGGTCATTTGAAAATTGAAATATAGGAAAGTTCCAAGACCCCCAGGCTAATGGACGTAGGCAGATTGGTTCATGTCACTATCGACAGGTTAATGGAGACTGGTTTCAACACTTAAAAAGTTCTGCACTTTATTTTGCAGTGATGTTTGATTGCCAGAAACATTAAATTCAGGCAGCGTGACGACAATATAATTGGTTTTAAACTGCAAACTTACGGCAGTTTCGCCACGATACAGTGCAGAGATGATCAATTTCTGCCTCTTCTATCCTTTGCACGGCTCGAGTAAGACCAGCTAGAGAGAAAACGGGTGATTCTGGCATTTATTGCTAATTACGCATCTTTACACCATGGCAACGTAGCCAAGCAGCCTTGTATTAGGCCGATCTCTGTCTTTTTTTCTCGATGTAGCTCGATGATTGGACGAGAAATAACAGGCAGAGCCAACATATGGGTTCAGGTGAAGCATACAGTGGTGTGTCATTGTGGGGGTGGAGTTGGGGGATGTTATCAACTGTTGACAGACTGAAAGTGCCAGCATTTTTCGAAGCGGTATTATTACCTTTTTAGGGGATGAAGGATTCTTTAAAGGATGGAAAAATTGTAGGGGAAAAATGAATATTGATCCTGGACCACTTTCAACCGGCATTGTGTGACCTTGAACAAATTGGGATAGAAATGCTCTCACTTGTTTTGATAATTATCGTGAAGGTATCCTGTATGATTTACCGAAATTCCCTAGGAATTCTCTACGGGGAAAGTTAAAAAATCCGAGAAGTCGTTTTTCCACGTTTTAGCCCTTTTCACGAATGTAGGGACCTCTGATGGACCAGGGTAGACCCCTGGGTCCTCCATCCTGACTTCCACATGCAGTGACCAACTTGCCATTAATCTGGTAGTAATGATAGTTGGTTGCAAATTTATAACATGACGTCATTTTGTCGTGCTGCAGCGACCACAAAAGGGCGTTTCAGTATGTGTTTACATTTTGCCATTAGATATTATTTTCAAATTTGGCACAATCTATCTGAATGTCGATATTGGAGCATATTGAATTATTTGGGGCATTTTTCGGCTCTCTAGCACATTTTTGGGTGATGTGACTTCAGCTGCCTAGCCTCGTTATTTGCGCACTCCAGCAGCTTCTTCGAAAAGCCGTGTGACTCTCACTCTGCCTTAACGCCAAAAAATAAAATGCACCAACTCATGATTCATGCACCAATGATTTTAGCCAATTGAAAAAGTTTGTGAATTTTTAACACTGCACAAATGAAAGGTTGCATTGCCGTCTTCAGCTGCTTTCCGCTTTTGAGCTTTCGGCGCTTTTAGTTCTGAAGGTTGCAAACTTCAAAGGTTATTGGTCATTCATTGACAAGAAATGACCAAGTACGTACTTCTTAATTTTGAAAGGATACACCGTGGGGCTATGAAACGGCTAGCCTTTAAGTTTTTCCGCTTGTGGACCTTAATACCAGGTGGAAGAAATTTATGTTATGTCACACAAGTAGATGACAGACGTAGACTTCTAAACAGCACTGGGAAGAACGATACGGTAAGGTTCAGAGGATAATTAATTTCCTGCTGAAAGATGAAAATAAAGAGGATTTTCTAAGAAGTTAGAATAGGGTATCTGATATTAAGAACCGCATGCTTATTTGCATGTGTGTTGCCGAAACGTGTTGCAAAAAAAAGAACAGTTTTGACTTAGAAATACGTGATAAAACCTTCCCCCTGTGGATGTTCCAGAACTGAGTTTTTATATTTGATGAAGAACGTATTTTGGTATTCATTATCTTAAAAAAATAATTTCTGTTGCAACTTGCTCTGAATCTTTCCACTAGTTTTAATGATTTTGCTTAAATAGAAACAAACTGAAATGGTTTTTTTGCAGCAGATGTTGCAGACCTTAATAGCGAGGACAGATTTCACACAAACAGTAAGGTAAGAGCTCATGCCCATTGTAACGGTGTGAGTTCCCCGGAGTGTTGCACTTTCCATGAGATACTTTGCCCTGTCCGCCTTGACAAAATTTACGTTGTCTGTTAACTTTATGTCAGATTTATCCAACGATGCAATGTGTATGTAAATGTACACTTTTTCTCTATGTAACGTTAAGATCAATTTTCATATTCACCCGAATGCACAAACCCACATCATCGAACTTTTGGTTTTGCCATTTTCTTTTGTTTAACTTTCTTGTGATGATTGTGTCATACTTTTGTGGATAAAGTGCTTTATTAATTAAAATTAAGCCGAGAAGAAAAATCAGACATTTTCGTTCAGTCGTGACTACAACCGTGGAGAAACCAAAGCACATGCGCAATTCCAGTTGAGTTCCACAATTTCGTAAATATATGTACAGAACTAAAACGCTGTTCAGGTACAATATAATCCGCTGATTGCCTCTGCACATTCACACAGCCGATGTAGGCCTAATATCAATGGGCTCAGGATTCTTTGCAAATTTACAGAATGTTTGACAGTGTGCTTCAGACTTGGTTTAAAACTTGACGGGCTCTGATGGACCGATCACAGTTTGTGTTCCATCTCTCCTAGATATCTTAGGATTAAATTTTGAATATTCAATTGTCCAAAACTGTGTGCCTTTTCATCACTTCATAAAAGCGGCGACGACATGTACCACACGGGAAAAGTGTCATGTTCGATTACATTTTAAGTTTTCTTGAAATTATATTTCAACAACTATATTTTAAGTGTTCTTGAATTATGAATAATGTTAGGAACAGGACTTTGTCGTGTAAGAGCAACAAGGTCGTAATTCTCATTCTGTTTACGAGATACGACATTGAGACAGTTTTTCACGTGATATGCTCATCAGGAAAAAAATCAATATGGTACATCTGGCCATGCAGATCAATTATATGGAATCAACAAGGACCAGCTGCAAATTATAATGTCGACGTCAATGCAGACGAAATGAGTGTACCTAGTCTAGGAGAACAGACTGAATCAGTGAAGAGCCCTTCATTGACTACAATGGACGCAGCCAACAAGCAGTTGCATTGGTAGCCTGGCCATGCTGACATAACCTTGACCATTTTGGCTTGTTTATGCACACTAATTAGTCCTTTTGCCAAACTTTTTACCTTAAATAAGTTTTACTAAGTGACCATTCTTGCTGAAAACAAGCCAAAAAATTGCCCATGAAGGGAAACAGTTTCCTTTAATTTAGTTAATTCTAGTTTATTTATTTCCATATGTTATATAAAATATTCACATGAATTTAGCATCAAAATAACAGAAATTATGTGAGGATTCCAGATAAAAAGTAAATGCTTGTTCAACATCTGGAACCTGTTACATTACTGTACAGAGTGAGTTGAGAGACCCTTGAGTATCTATTATGAGATAGTGCTCTCCTAATATAACATCGAAAACTGAGCAAAGGTGACATTTCTGCAAGCTTTGGCCGCCCATACATGTTGTAGGCAAAATGAGAGTGGTCTATAGATGCAGGGTACGTTGTGGTTGTTTCAACAACCATACGTACGCAATTTGAACTTTTTGATCTGAAAAGCACATTTCCATCATACAAAATCGTGACGTAACGAGGAACATTTCCAAGAGGAGTATACTTTTTCGTATATACCATGTCTAATGGTCTTTTGTCACCAGCCTTCGGACAACATTGGGTATGCAGTGTTTAGAAAATGACGTCGGTGAATGCGCGGTGAAACACCCAGGACATGTAAAATAGCAACAACAATTCGCCACGCTCCTTGGTACGGTATTCAAAGAGTTCAGCATTGTAGAATTTTAACCTCATGGGGTACAACATGTGGACGCATCCATTCTAAAACACGGCAAACCAAATGGTATTATTTGCAAAGATCATTTAAAAGAAGAACATGTAATACTGTCGACACAAAGACACTCTCACATGAACAAAAAATACACAAGCTGTTTTACCAAAACATGCAGCACTGAAAATCAAGCCCATGGCAGATGCCCGTAACACCTGCAGCGTCAATGGCTTTTAGTCCTGGTGTTTTGTTTTTTTCAGCCGCTGGCGGTAACATCCTTGACGGTGGTATTGTTCCTTACCTTGAAACCACGCCACTGAGCTGTACGACATTCCCTCGTCATTAGAACCCTTTAAGAGCCGCGAATAATTCAGTATTATTCGAAAAAGGTTTACTTATTCATAATGGGCTCATAAAAAAATCACAGCATTACCATCTTGGCAGGTTTTTAAACAGATGCAGGGTGCCAGCTCGTTCATTTTATTAGCATTTAAAATGTCGAAAACTAACAAGCAAGGCTAAAAGTTAACGAGTATTTCTTCCGGTGTAAATTTATCATACCATATACCTACACGGTATGTAACGGTCAAGGTCTCTCAAGGACAAAAACACAACAAATTTGCCAGCTCGAATTAGTAAATGCTCTACGTCAGTGAGTCTTGGCCTCAAGGTGTTACTACTTGATATTTTTTTTTTACCCGTGTATTCATCCACAATGTAGTGCCAAACATTTCGATCAACTGGACGGCAGTTGAAAGCACGATGAATGTCGTTCTGTAGGTAATCGGTATCTGGCAGCTAAATAAAATTCGTTACAGAAGTTAACGTTCACAAAGACATGTAGGGCCTTTCGACAAAGAACTATGCCAGAAACTTCTCCCAATCTGGTATTTCCATGCAGGGCGGTCCGGCAAGGCCGGCCATAACAGAGTCAACAGGAGCCTTAATCTCAGGTCGTTGGAAAGCAGTTCCCTGATTGAGTCTGAAAATTAAGAACCGACACTACAAAGGCGAACCGTCTAGTGAAATAGAATTGCATTGTAATAGCATTTTTATTTTGCCACCTGTGATCAAATCAGATATAAAGTGAACCCCCATATTGTATACAAAACAAAACTTTACCAAAAACAATGGAGGAATTGTGTCTGTATCGAGTGACTGTCAAGAACAGTGGCTTCTGTTTACAGCACAATGGCTTTTATATACGCTGGCGCAGTGATATAATAGAGGTCAAAGATATGCGTTGGCATAGTAACCAGATTATACTATCAAACACGGTGGCTGTCCACTGCGTGTTGTTATAATTTTTTTTGCATCTGACTTTTTTACGAAAAACAACAGCAACATCATATAAAGCCACATACCGTTCGCGGAAAATCATGCCCTCGTGCTATATTAGCCAGTCAGCCTTCACCTCTCATTGTGAGCAATAAAACTCATTCCACGTTGCTTCCCCCAACCAGCTAACGAGCGCTTTCAGTGGTAACTGGTAGAATTGTTAACATTTTCCTTTCAACTTTGGGACAAACATTATAATAGAATATCCCAATTATGTAATGCCATCGTGTCATTTTTACTACTGATGAGATTCTTGGAGTTAACATTGACTGTGCTTCAATGGATGAAAAGTTTCGATCTGATTCTAGTAAATGTGTAAGCATATACCTAAACGATTTGCCTCCATGTTTTGAAAGCTGTTTTGTGTTTTCCCCGTTTGGAAATCAAAATAAACGACACGTGTGACTTTTTATAAAAACTAACCATGGCCAACAAAAAACAGACAAAAAACAAAACAAAACAAAACAACCAAAAAACCCTACCAAAAAACAAACAAATGTTTCATTGACAAACATTATCAACCCCGAGCACTCCCTCTCAATAAATGGCCGATACTGTTGTTATGCTTGGAGTGTGATTAATAGCCAGGGAATGTGCGGTGACCCGAGTCAAAACTAATAACATCTCGCTGGTATATTGCCGCGGGCAGTTGCCAAATAATGATCAGTGATGGTGTAGCCATGGTCACTCGATTCATCTATTATGTGGCTCGAAACAATCAGAGTACGGCTCCTTCTTGTTGTCATCCGTAACCGTCTTAAACCAGTAAACATTACAGGCGTTTTTGCAGGATTTGCCCAATATACTTAAGGAACATGAAATATCCAACGTTCCAGCTTTTTGTGTGCTGAAATCATAGAACAGTTCGCTAATAATTTGCTTTATTTATGTGCGCATGCACCTAAATGGTCGGCAGAGGCAATAAGCTTGAGCGCCGGACCCATTGAAAACAGATTCACATGGTGCTTCCACTAATCTCCGTACGTTTTCTGAGCACTGGATTAATCTCCAAAATCGAGCTTGCTTTCGACTTTGACGGTTCTACAGATGACAGTGAACGTAGGCATAAAACACTGCGGATTACGGGAAACAATTGTCGATGTACATAACCTACAGGCCTATTCAGTTCGGCAGAGTACTGTGAAAAAATGTTTAAACATAGGGACCCAACTTGGCGCAGGATGGCCCGTTGCACTTAGTCAAAGGAGTTATTGAAGAAATGGGGAACAGTGTAACACCAACTTTTGCCTTCTTTCTCTGATATTTTCAGTAATGAAAACGAATTTGGACATCAGATGTGTTTAGTTGTAATGGAAAGAGGGACGTGCATCCTCTCTAATGACACCTCGATCTCCAGATTTTGACTTATTTAGACTTTTTATGCTCAAATATAGGAATTCGCGCGGGAGGTGGCCAAGTGAAGTGCAGACAAAAGGAACATTCAAGAAATATGAGGCAGTATGACACCAACTCTTGCCTTCTTTGGGGAAACATGTTAGCCGTGCCAGACCAAGATTGAGAGGCTAAAGTCTGTTGGGTGCCCTGTTCCATCCAGCGCTTAAGTATACCAGGCAAGATATGGGACGGAGGGGTACCCCCTTACCTGCCCAATCCCTATATACACACTATATAACTATTGTTACCTAACACACACCCCCCCAGAAGTCAGTAAAGAATTCCTGAGATTCCGATCAAACAATGACCAACACAAAGGCAGGGGGGTTCTCTCCGTCCCATATCTTGCTGCAAATTTATTTAACAGAGAAACGATGTATGGAGCTGAATAAAAATAGAACACAACGTTTCGACATTTTGCGTCCCCCTTTTCAACGGCAAACAAAGGGCAACGCGCACAACAGTCCAGTGTTATTTTTACTGACCAATCTGTCTAAGCTGGCTGGCACATCCCTGAATGCTTTTTATATGTACTAACATTACCTTTAGGATGTGGGAGGCCCATCGGCGTCAAAAATGCCTACAAATCGAAGGTATTCCGGAGGATGTCTAGCCCGCCCCATGTTGAATTGGGGAATTTTTGGAATAGCACGCTGGTGGGCACACTTTGTGGTTGAGATATCTCAACCTTTATCTTGCCTGAAGCATCTGTTCACGTTTTTAATTTACCTCGTCACCGCTGTGGACTCGCAGGTTTGTTGAAACTGTTACTGATTTTCTGAAGTAATTCAACGCGAAGTGACTTGTTATGAAGATCGTTGCATAGGCGTATATCGATGTGAAAATCACGGCACCGGGGATGAAGCGATACTTTTAGCTTTGTTTGGCTAATAAATAACCGAAAGAGGATTTGATAGTAATCGGTGTTTTCATGGTCAAACCGTCTAAGTGAGCAACCGGCCGGGCCCGATGTCTGGGCAGGGATGTCACGGTGAACTCTAAATTTAATGGAGCCTCTTGAAAGCAGATTGTCACAGAAATCTTCCTTAAAGTGCAGGATAACAATCAAGGTATGATGTTTTTGTCACGAAGATTTGTAAGTCTGAATCGAGGCAAAAGGAAAAGGCGTGTTAAAGGATATTGAAACCGATCAGAAAAAATTCACCGTGGTCGATCCTATAAGAAATGCTTTACTGAAAAATAAGTACAAGTACTGAGGCCCATCCTCTCCAAAATACTTTAAGATGGCTCGGCCCTTCAGTTAAGTTCGGAGCAAAGGTGCGCTGTATAGTGCAAATGTGTCTTTTCCCATTCATGGATGTGTTTTAAAGGTGTTTCTCTCTTTTTTTAAATCCTGTACATTACTCCCAGGGAATGAAATTTCTATCGCTTTTCAATTTCATGATTTCCCCAATAATTTAAATGGGATAATAGAAATCGTTTTTAGCTCACGTACAAACAGGATTAGATAAATACTCCAGAAATTAACCACCGTCCGAGGAATTGAGTCATAAACTATGACAACACATGAGGGGAGCAGAGGTCAGCAACGGACCTCAAATACAGTTTTCGACTCTGGACTGTCGTCTTCGTCCAGATCAATCGTTGATATCCATTTCAAACATTTACTGTGTATAGATACGTTAGTGCTAGGAGCTAGACTATTCGCTGCTGCTGGTTGCAACTCCACATCTAGAGCCACGGGTGAGTCTCACTTTGAATTTTACCATTTTCACCCTTTTGACAGCGCGACGTGCCCGTATAGGCTGGAGTACGTAGGCTTCACCGGGGGCGCTTCGGCAGTGCCGTAGCCACGGGGGCCTGGAGAACACGTGTACCCCCGTGCCCCCAGGTGCCCCCCCAAAAAAACCCCGGATGAATGGAGATTGAACAAGGCTAACAAAAGCACACCACTGAAAGTTGGTGCCCCCCTTAAGAAAGCTGAAATACAGGATTTCGGCTTTCGTAACTGCAATTTCGCCTTGTTCGCTTGCTATCGTAAGTGTTGTTCAGAAGTTCATTTGCTTTCGTCAATTTGCAATATTTTGTACTTGTTTGAACTGTAGTTCTGACGTTTTTGCTCTTTCCTTCATTCCTAACTTTTATGTATTTTTAAAAATTGATCAGCAATCCCCTTCAGCCGTTGTGCTGGATTCCGCACTAAAACGCACGCGTGTTCATATTGTGGCGGGACAACTAACACCTTTTTGTGGCGGACCAGCAGACTGGCCTGAGCGGAGATAGAATTGACCTGGCCTAAGCCCACAAATATATTTATTTAACCTTACGCAAGAATGAGCGGCTATCCACACGCAAGGGGGGATATCAGTTAACGAACGGTGGACTATGCCTTAGGGGCTGTTCGTTTGGTGGAAGTTTACCACCGCTCTGTGATTAGGTAATTGATCCCAATGCCAATAAAGATTACGATAGATGTCAATAAGTGATACAGGACTGGCTAAATCCCACGATGGTTTATTCAGTGTTAGTGCTCAGTTATCCGTTATATACAACAGCAATTAACTATATACAAAATTATCCTCACGGGCAGGTAGTCCTACGCGATCTACTGCACCACGAACGTGATTAATCAGCCTTATCCTTAACCTACACCAGAATAACCCTCACGGTGATCAGGGTAAACCTCACAGTGATCAGGGTAACCCTCACGATAACCAGGTAACCCTAACAGTGATCAGGGTAACTCTCAAGTCTAAATAAATAATCTACAGATGGCTTATAACTAATAAGTCTTGACCACACAAGCAAATACAATCTTCGTAACTGTACAACACAACGGTGTAGACTTATAACAATAATCTATACTGCCTTACGAAGCAACACAGTTCCCAAACTGCAACAAA